TATGAAGCATTTGTACTTCATAGGTGACATTGTGCTCTCCAACCGCGCGAACCCCCTCAGACGAAACGTTTTGGAGCATTTATTGGTGCGGAGGAATTCGTCTGCCCTAGGGATGCGGAGCATCTATTATACAAACGTCGTTGACTGATAGCACACAATAGAACCAAAGGAATTGTAGTAAATATTGTCGGCTAACTGTTGTCGATTGGCTGTCATGGAATAATGGAAGTCGATGCTTCCTCTGGCTGACACATTATTACTTTCGGATTCGAATTGGCAGGTCTAAACACTCGTTGCTATGCGTTATTTTTCGAATGATTGGAACGGGCCTTTTCTCTAAAGGGGCGATTGTTCAGTCAAATAAACGTTCGATCACATGGCTAGAGCAATAGAGCTCATAAAAGAAAAAAAAAAACAGCCAACTAGCGAAAAGTGTCTACTCTCCCAAAATCCAGACTAACTATAATCTTGAATATTTTCCTTCTGCCTGTCGAGGCACTCCTGTGTTATCCTTGCAGCCAGACATTGTTGGTGCTGCTCGACCATTGAGCTCATTGGTCACATAACCAGGAGCGCTGTTTTTCCGACGCTCCTCGGAATAGCTGAATCCACAATGGAATATTTAGACAAAAAAACAGCTCGCTCTCAAATTTTCAAATGCAGACTCTTTGCATGATTGGTTTGTACCAAGTGCATTTCTGCTAGGCAATATATGATTACCTGAACCCTTCTGCTGCTCATATAGAAATGATGTAGTAAACGTTGACACTGACTCTGTCAGTGGTGACTCGCTTTGGCAAGGACGTTATGCTGTCAAAGGTCGGTCGTTTCGATTGTATCAGGAGACACGCTTGAGCATCAATTTGTAAGGGCCAAGTCCCAGTCGAATTCACGAAACATAACCAAAGATTCATGCAGAAGTTTTGTAGTCATGAGGTCTATTTGTAGTAATCGTCGAAGACGGCGCGACGAAGCACAATCCGTTTCTATAGATTAGGTGTTTGACACAGGGAACGCAAAGCGGACCACCTATATACTATCAGCTTTATCGTAAGTTTTGAATAAATTAACGTTCGCTGATATTTCGGCTTCCTGTCTTGAAGCATAGGTATGTATCTAGCTTACACGAGATAAACGAATGAAAGGGCGAAGTTGTATTTGGTACCGGTCCTGGTTGGCAAGAGGTCCAATAGTACAGAGCGAACTGAAAGCGCCAGAGAATAAAAGCGGAAAATGGCTGAACTGTAAGAATAAATAGGGGTCGCAGTGAATATATTAATATGAAATTAATCTGAATGTAGTTATTGGAAGCGCAACAGCAGTAGCAGCGATACCAACAATAGAAGTTGGGTGCGTAAGTGAGCATACGATGACATACATTGCTGATCATCGAGCTTTGACTGGGTGTTCCACGAGCATCCCCAAAAATGCCGATGGGGCCACTTGAGCCAGCGTAAACCCAAACACATCCGTGTCTAGTAAAATCAATGACTTACTAACGTTCATTCATGTCGTAGCTCTGGGGTGCATTCACCGCATGTGTAGTGGGAAGCTCTAGATGTAAGCGAACGATCTCAATAGTGACATTGATTCTGCAACTAAACGAAAAACGTGAACTTCTGAAAGCCGACGAGATAAATTCTTACGAACCTATATCGGAGCAGAATTTCGGCACGATATTATTACGTAATATATAACCTCACTTCTTGACCTCTTTGTCTATTTGTATTTACATTCCAATAGAATATTATTTTCTTTTGTGGCTTGCAACGCTAGCAAGCGATACATTAACTCAATAGCGGCTACATTTGCCTTTTGCGATGATTTCTGAGAAATATTTTAATTTAAAACATAATGAATCGTGCACAGAGTCCTGCCAAAGAGTGCTGCCATCACGCTTCGTCGAGTATCAACGCTGAATTCAGATGAAACCCGCCGCGCTGCGACTTATTTAATGGAGACACAACGCCAATAGTTCTGAGCGCCCGTTTCATTTCTAATATCTAGCTACTGTGGCCGATCCGTTTTCCCCCTTAATAGATCCCCGCCACTACTCGCCTGTTGGAAATTCACTCCGATGCGGAAATTACCAATGTATCTTCCAGTATCTTATTTTGTTGATCCGAAATATTAATCAGCTGCTATTAGAGATCGTGGGGACACTGTAACTGGACTGAAGATAAACCGTTCCGCGTATCACACTTTCGAAAAGTACTTATCTCGTGTCGCCTATAGTGGCTGCTGCATACTCTGCACGACCTCGACTTATGGACAAACGGGGAAATGGTCTAGCAGGCTCCTGAAGTCAGCATACTAACGACCTCAAAGTAACGCCATCGTCGTCCTTAGCCACTGCGCATTACTATTTACCTCAATCTCCATGCGGTAGTATATAGAGCTTAATTAAAAATCAAAATGACCCGCTTCCGCCATCTTGCAGTTACGCTTGTTCAATTAATAAACATATTATAACAATTATTAATACTACTAACTGCGTAATGACAATAATTAATCGACCACAATTGCTGTTCGGGAGCAGCTCGCGCTCGCTAAATAATGACCATCCCTTCTTCTTGGCATGATTAGCATCAGGTTGGCCTTTCTGCTCACCCTCTGTCCGTTCTACGAGCGGAGGAAGATCATCGTAAACGGAATGACCAGTACAGAACAGAAACGAATGGCTGCTCGCTCGTTCAATAAAATATCGTTTTAGATATGAACAATTAATTATACTGTGAACATTTATATTGAATTACATGCCGTCTCTACCCAGTCACCGATTTTTTAGTTGGCCATAGCTTCACCATTACTCGAGTGCAGTAGCAGCGCTAGGCGGGCCGGGGGAAGAACGTCAACGGGAAAGAAAAAAATCTAGGTAAACGTTCAGCGAGATGATGATCAGCAGCAGCACGGCCAATATAATGGCTGAACACTGGGGTTTGGCCCATTTGACCCTTTGACTGTGTTTGCAGGGGCGCCGATTCACGTTGCCACTACCGCCTTCGATGTAGATGATACTGCGGCCACTGCCTCTGACAGCTATGGAGTGGTCTAAAAAATTCGGTTCGATGTCGGCGACGGCCCGTGCTACGGCGGCGCTTCGGTAGAGGTCGTCTGCCTAAAAGAAAGAAGATCTTATCAATCTCTTCACGAATTCAGCACTGTGTGACCACAATGAACAGGCGAGCAGTCAGTGGTGCCGCTATGGCAGAACTGAACGAACGAAAGAACCGTCCATAGCGTGTACCAGCAAGAGTAAGTGCCTCGGAGTTAGCTTGAGTTCTGTTGACCATATCGCGGGCGCGATGGCGACGGTGGCAATGCGACAGGCAGCATCAGAAGCCAAGATAAACGCGAGATAAATTTATACAGCGGTCATATTTTAAAAAAAGATAACATCGCATTGGAAACTGAACGTGTATCTGACGCATTGAGGCGCTGATGCACTGCTCTTGATATTTTCTCTACAGCGGCAACACGAGTAATAAGCACCAGTAGTGGCAGTAATTCGAATCTCACTTAATTTCGCAATGGTTACTCGTTTTAAATCCCTCTAGTGAATGTTTGGTGAGAAAATAAAGACAAGCAAACGAATAACTGCAAAGCAAGTTAGGCTGAACAACTGGACGAGGGAGACTGAGTTCTCGGTATGTACAGGTAGATCTGATGTACATACACAAAGGTGGGCCGGCCTTGACGAAAACTATACTTATAATACGCGCCCATGTGGCATGAAGTAGGGCAAGCACTTAGAAAGGGGTGTTCAACTGCCAAAAGAAAGCTTCAGTCAGCGAGGACAGTGGTAGATACACAAGCTAACTTCGCTCCCATCTATTTTACCACACTTTTTTTGCAGCTACTATACTATGCAAATGCAGTCGGCGGTTCGACACTGGCAATCAGTCGGCACAGAAAGGTGAAACACGATGTATTTATCGGGATCTTTTACAACCTTTGCTGACGACATTACTGGTAAAAATCTAACGGCTCTTGTGGTATACACTGCACAGTGTGCAGCCAGTGCACGTTACACAAGCGTGCATACCCCTGATTAAAGTCATATGAGACCATGTGTTTGCATGCATGGTAAGCCTCACTGACTATCTGAAATTTGCCGGTACACACAGTTACATGGATGTAAATGCACTTCGTATCTAATCATTCGGTCTTGTAGCGCGCACCTCTGCGACATTTTTGTCCCATAGGCCAAAATAGCTTTCTGGGACTCCAACAGATTAATTCTCGCAGTGCTCTAAGATACGGAACTTGAGTTTCAACTTGGCTATACAAGTGAAATAAGTTCAATTGGAAGCAGTCTTGTATAGATGATATCCCGGAATTTTGACAAATGGGTCGTGGCCTAAGTTCAAGACTGAGGTGGAAATGCTGTTAGGTAATACAGTTTCTTTTCGCTCAAGCATCCTAACCATGTGTACTAAACCCTGAAGTGAGCTACGAAAAAGACGGTTTATAGTGTAGTGCTATTGTGAATCATTACTACCCACTATTCAACCGTTATTCTAATTGAATCGCATTATTGAGTTCTTTAAGCACTGCGAAGGATCGACAGCTTTTTGAGCCGGAAAGAAGTAATCTCCAATCGGTGTCAAAGATACCAACTGTACTATCGTCTTTTGAATATACACGCAATTCTTAGAGCAAGAAGTGTCCCGGTTCACTGAGAATAACGATGTGTTCCTGCATATACAGGAACACAACTTGCAATGACTGCTTCGACGAGAAATTTCTTCGATCTGGCTTTGATCGGATCCAGTCCGCGATTACTGCCAACGAAATGGGGCGAGAACAGGAAATGAAGATATGGGGTGTCGTGGGGGGCGGCTAGTCGAGACGATGTGATGAAGCGAAAAACAAATAGAATGGCTTGGCCAGCTTTCTTAGGTCATGACAAATGTGAGGTCACCGATACGAACAGCCGAAAAGAAAAGCAACTCACTAAAGAAATTTCCTTTCTTGCTCTCTTCCATGATGCGCTTAAGAATGTGGATGGGGATGAAGGGACCGGGATATCTGAAGAACCGGTAACAATGGCAACGGTTATCGAAACTGCAACGGTGAGTTAAAAAACACGAATATCGAATAGGGAAGGCCGGAAGCACGAGAAAAACGCTTTTTACGACATGTATAAGCAAAGGAATACGTAAGAGTACCGATGCATTTGAAGCGATGGCCTAGGTGACAAGGACATAACATAGCTGCTGATCATACAGCACTTTACTACAAAACGTTTTTGCCGATAAAATCATACTATATCGTTTTGTTACTATATATAGTTATTTGTATGTTGGTGTCAGGTAGATTGCTTGGGGCAAAACATTGGATGTACGCAGAAATGAATTGGGTTTGGAGCAATTTTAAAAGGTTTCTATTGACGACAGTTCATAGACGAGTGGCTGTATCGATGTGGAGTGCTTATGAGATTGACTGATTGGTTTAGCTTATCACTAGGCTACCCAACTGATTCTGTGTTACCAATGGTCCTTCGACTGCCATGATCGTTCTCGTGATAACAACACCATGATTCGATAATGTGAGCGATGTAGCTGCAAAGGGTCTTACATCTATTCCGTTGCAAAATTTGCTCGAATGTTTTCTATGTTCTGGGGTGAGTTATGCACAGACCCAGCAGCTTGGTGCGTCGATAAGACTTTTGCTAATTATTTCAGCCTCAAGATCACTGACGACAATGTGTGTTGGGTGTCATTTCATTGCAAGTAACTTTTGCGTAAACCTATTTAGGCCGGGCAGGACAGACGTAAAATAAGTTGCGTCATCTTCCTCATTGTGGTACTTTTCTGCTTTTTTATTAGATTCGTTTGTAGATGCAGATAGCAGGACGGTTGCAGTATTGTCGGTAACGATACTTTGGTGAATGAATGGGTTGTGTTTTGGCTTGGCACGTGAATACCAGGACGGACAGCGCGCTCTAAGAAGGATGTGACGCACTAATAAAGACTGTAAATGTTTCAAGCATTACTTCGAATACTGCCTCTGAAAATTACTTCAGACGATTGTCTCCTACCAACACAAAATTAATTCTATGTCCGGCCTCGAACCAAAGTTTTATAGCCAACATCTTACCACTGCGTTATTACGGTAACATGCTGACCTGACTTCCCGACTACTCCATATTTCGGCGTTAAACGTTGTTGTTGAGAACGGACTTAAGTCCGTATCGTTCATTCGTGGTGAATTATATACGTTTAATGAACGCCAATTTGCAAGATTACTTCCAATAATCATCTGTTGTTTTTGTCTTTACCCCTAGGTAATGACGTTATTGACATAGTCTCGGAGATTAGAAAAGGCTGACGCTTAACAATGGCGATCTCGTCAGATTACGTCCCTGGTACACTTTGCTTAAAAGCGATATATATGACTCAAAACATTTTAAATACTTCATCTCAACAGCCGTCGCTCAGTCTCCGTAAACACAATTATTTGGCCCAGCAAAGTGGGCACTGACCGTTCTGCAGTTGTCCATGACCAGCCTGATCGCTCACCACAGTCGAGTAGGCACAGGCGGACGTGTGTAGGGAATGGATGAGTTCATGTGACGATAGTGTTGAGCGCTTGATGTAACTCAAAGCTTAAGAGTACATCGAATATCCAAATTACCTGGCTTTTTTCAGCTAAAAGCTATAGGGCAGAAAGGTTACGACCTAGAAGATGACCTGCTGCAAAATTCCTAACATCGACCTGGAACGATACTTTATCCTGACTACGCAGCGTCGTCGTTTAGTTGTCTGGCTCGCATTATCTTACGCAAGCCTCACACTCTGTAGTGAGGTAAGTTCAGGGCAAAGTCGAAGGACAGTACATAGAGGCCGCTTAACAACGAGGCAGAAAGCGCGCCGTACGGCTCGAAAGCTGGGAATCGTGAAAGACGTTAGGAAAAATGTTTTTCTACATTTTTCTATCATTTGTTTATCGATTGAATCTCTTAGGGGGTGTCGAAGAGTCAATTGAAGACTTATTAATTTTCAACAACGTATGGGTATATATCTAATATATGTAACAATATGTTCAGCTAGGTAGAAAAAATAATCGTTGTTGCCACAGTTTAATAAATCTATTTTGACATTATCAGGGCTATTCCGAAGTTTAATTCGAAAAGCTAATTAAGCCAATATTGAAAAATATTTGCAAGGGAAAATGCCGCCATTGAACATGTGATATATAAAGCCTTTCAATCTCGAATCCTTAAAACGTTTGCGCTTTTCCTTGTTTTTTTGGCATCGCTTTCATATTGGTTCTGATGAAGTATCCGTGAAGTAAACGGCATTCGAACACGTTTGCCGCTTTGTGTTAAGAACGAGAAAAATCCACCGTCATTCTTTTTGATTTCCTACCAGCTGTCATGTGTCGAGGCCTCTTCCCTGTTTTTCTATTGCTGCAATTTGGTCCTTTTGTGGAGTTCCTTCGCAGAACGCCTAAAAAAACAGTGGTAAGCCTTTGAGGTATAGAAAGGCAAGTATTCTTTAGGTTAGAGCTAGGTCAAAATTGGACACATGAGGTTCCTGGTTGCTATTCGAATTCCTAATGATCACTATATTGTAGTTTTAGCTAATTAAAGATTGAATTTACTTCAGAAATTTTGTCGGAATATATTACTTAGTTTTTTTTCCTATGTCGTCAAAAATACGTTTTCATATATTAAGTTTTGTTTATATCGGAATAAATTCAAGCATCAAAAATACGAAAATCGTTTATTTCCTCTATTATTATTACTGTTATTATGACTATTACTACCAAATAATATAAATACTTTTACTTAGCCCACGTATTTGTCAAAACGGAATAGACTGCTTGACACTCTATTATGATCCTTTTCGGTTCGTTCCATATGCGCGTGTCTGCGTAACGTAACGTTGTAAGGGTAAGAGAATGCCTTTGAAGTGGAAGTTTCGTGGAGCAGAAGCTTATCGCGCACGCACATTATTAACATAATGGGCTTTTAATAAATTGCATTTATTAGTGCAACGTGACCGAGCTATTTAGGTACAACACGCCGTTATCGTATATCTCAGGGAAAAGCTACTTTTCTTTAGTCATTAAATAATCTCTATCTATTTTGGTTTTCGTAGACGTATGTCGATAAAAAGAGGAAAATGGAAAGAACAATAATCACTCTAAGAGAATTACTGCCTCTTCCACCAAAATACTATAACCGAATATGTCGGAATATGCTGAAATATGTGGTTTAGTATAGGATAGGGAGCGCGGAGTACAATCGTTTTCTTTATAAGCTTCGTGAGGCTGGGATAAGCCCATTGATGCGGACCAAATGACTATTTCGATGATTTGTTGGTCTTGGGGACCTTTGTACGGTCTTGCGAAATGGGCAAACAACATCACAGACGAGTTGCGAGGACAATTGGACTACAACGAAAGCATGATGCTTTTGCGTGTATACGCCAGAGGGTATAAGGACTTCAGCTCGATTTGAGAAGGTCTTATTTTTTCTCGGGATTGGTGCTTGATATCGGCTATTGTTATGTGTAAGACTAGCATCATCCTAGGAAAATGACCACGATGCAACAAAATACAAAATCTGAATATATTTACTCCATTTAGCCTATACCTTGTATTCTAAGTTGAACTACTATCATGTTCTCTGTTGTTATGTCTACGTACATCATCAACAACGACACCGAACATGTATATCCTACCCTGAAACAGCCTTGTTAAAATCCTATCGAGCTACAGTAAGACAAGATAGCGCAAATATACTTGCAATAATGTAGCTGAATAGTTTTCTCACTGTAAGCCTTCGTAGGTAATGAGCAATTTGTTATTTTATCTTGATACGAGACAAGATAATGTCGTCTCCGATGATGGGCGAATAAAGGACCCCATTGATCCGTCCGTCTGCGAAACACCAGATCTGGTAGCGATCACCACCATAATGATGATCTTGAAAAGGAGTCCTTTGTCTGCTTCGTCTGATCTCTTTGCTGACTATCTGGACGTTTTTCGTTTTAACCTTCTGCTAATGTCAATGTGGAGATTAGAATGGCGTCATACACACGGCTAGACTGAGGAACTGATCAAGTCACCCAACGCTCTCCTAAGGCTATCTCTATGCATGCGCGGCAGTACGCAGATACAACCTCATAGATAGGAACGAACTAGCGTACGTGTCTATATAAACATTTCTATCTCGTATGTATATGATTCAAGTACCAGCACCCAGGGCGCGTCTAGGATCAAGAGTTTTTCGCCCTTTAGCGAGACAGCCAAAGGATCATCGGATCGCGTGAGTCGCTCGCTTTTCGGACTGATGGACGACAGGAAGGCCCAATTCACATCAAATTTCTCCTGAACTAAACCGGCTAAAGGAACCAGGATGGTGACCAGAGATGGCTGGGTCCAAGTTTTGCCCGTCATCTGTGTCTGAGAGTTCCATCCCCAATGATACCAGGAAGATACGTGCGATAAAGTTATCCTCTTTGTATGTTGACACACACGAACAGACCACTTTTCGTCCCCAAGCGGACTCGTGTTTACTTTTGAGTAGAAAACTTCTAAAAGGAAGAAAACGAAAAATCGCCCTAGTCTCTCTTCCCCATTCTTTCACCTAAAATGTGACCGACTGAACCATCAATAGATGAGGGCGTGTCTCTGCTATGTTCACGGTCTAGTTTGTAACGTAGTTTTGTACGTATGACAGGGATCGGGCTCTAGCATATATGTATGTCAATATCATAACGGTAACATGGTTGACTATGAGAACTCTGGCCTTATCTTGTCACGCGTATACATATGTATATATATGCTCTAGCATCCGTCAGGAGTAGGATTAAATGTAGGCTTCTACTAAAATTGGCATTACCGCGACTATCAAACGTTCCGGCTCATTCAGTTGAATCGGTGTCTAGCTGGATTGAGCCGTTATTCTACTAGGCTTCGGGTAGTCGTATAGAGAAACCTGAAATAGGAAGGACCCGGAGTTCCACATCGTGGGGATACTTGTTTAAAGAAAGCTCGAGTTCTTCTCCGAAGGATCATCGTTCCGTTTCAACAAAGCAGGGAGTGGTCCTAGTCTCGAGTATCAGCTGCTGCGAGATTAAGGTGTCAACGATAATCAACCAAAAAAGGGCGTCTCCTTATCCTTCCTACTGTGGTGCTCACACCATGTTGCACTCTGTCATTGGATGAACTTGACTGCGTGGCCGCACCTGACTCGTAGGTCTACGTTGCTGTACCAGTTGAATAAACATTACGCACAACTAACGTATTGATTCTCTCTCGTTTTCTTCATTCTTTTCTTTGCCCCAAACTGCTCTTTCTCGTACCCGCGGCATGAATTTCTTTTCGACTGACATTTGTCCTTTTCCTCTGTCCATGATTCTCCTATAGTTTTTTTTTTCTCTCTGAATACGTTTGCCTCTTTGCTCTGATTTTTCGCGTCTTTCTAGACATCGGTGCAACTCCGTGATTGCGAACAGGAGCCGATTACGATCATTCAAGTCAACGACCCTGTTCTTTGCCCGGGGTGAAGGCTCGACGCAACCCCACAGTATTTAAAGGCCTTTCATCACCTCATCCATGAGAGCGTTCCTTGTTTCTACAGTTAATCTTAACGCCGATGAAATCGATGTGGGAAAAGACGCCTGCCTCCTAGAAAGAAATCAGAAGTTTTTAATGAGTATTTTGGGGAAGTCTAAAACTCCATTGTTTTAGCGGCTGTCTCTCTTTCTCTAACGCTCTCTTATCTGCTTTTAGTGTGCGATCTAAGCGGTACGAAAATTTGAGATAGAGGTGTGAGGGCATTAGAGAGTAGCTGGTCAGCTACTTGGTCGGTGGCGAGAGGCGAGACTCGTTTGCGTTCGTGTAACTCGGCGGTAGCACTAAAAATAGCACCAATGGCCGTCGGGCCCGGCGTGGGCTGGCACGACTGAATCACGTTGCCCAGATCCTGATTTCCTAAGTAACATTCTGGGGCAGAAGAAATCGGCGACTGGATAATAAAGTGACAGAAGAAGGGACCGAGCGAGCGCGCGAGAGAGAGAGAGAGAGAGAGAGAGAAACAGGCAAGGACGAGGGAAAGAGGAGACCAAATAGAAAGAAGAACAAGCAATGAGGATAAAGAAAAATCAACGAACTCTGTATTTAAAAGCGAAACTGGAAAAAAAGTGGATCGAATTTGTCTAACAGCAGCAGGAACTACTATCAATCGAAAATAATAAACTTGATTAGGTAAGTTAGCTCAGAGGAGTTTCGCAGCACGTATCATACGTAAAAGCAAGGACCAATGGACAAGGAACAAAAAAAGTTTTTCACCTTTACAATAGTAACGTCAACTCAGAAAGTTTTATAAGAAAAAGCGCGTTTGCCATCAGATGTACGTCATTGATTTGCGAACGAGTAATGAATACTAAAAACTCGCTAAGGACAGGAGGTGATGTCAAGAGCGCATACCTTTAAAGATATATGCTTAGCAATACGTTTATAAAAAGAAAACGTTTCCTGATGTGTTTTTTGTGCAAACATAGAGCTTTAATAGGTACATATTTATATGTTGAAGAGGCCCTTTTATGCGGCGTTCATATGGATCGCCAGGGCAGAATAGGCGTTCATCGTACGTACCAATTGGGTGCCAAATATGTGAGTGAAAGAATGGCGTCGAATCCTCTTTCAATCAACACTTGACTACTCATTGCCTTTTAAGGATCAGAATGAGCTTTCAGCATAATTTTTCTAAATCAAAAACATTTTTCGATTATGACGTTTATCTTCTGACCAGTTCATTTCACAGCAGTTCTCAAAGGCACGCTGTTATCGCCTCGTATTGTCATATTGCCGTCTGAAGGTACCGCGGCTGGTCACCGTATAGCTTATGAAACCAAGTCATCGCAGCGCTGACAATTTGTCACCTCGTTTGTACATCACCGATAACTAAGGCCAGCGGCCACAGTCACTAGCTGGATCTCGGCAGAAATGGTACTTGAAGCTGAGGCCCCCTCATTGTTACCGCTTCCTTCCTTCGCGCGGTTCATTGGCTTGCCATAAGATACGATGGTTAGAAGCCTCCGTTTGGGGATACGTCTAGGTAGCCAACAGCGACCGGCAGCACGAGCAGCAGTAACTTGTCTGATATAGTTGCTTTCTTTCTCTGAGCTTTTCGCTAACTGCTTTGGGAGACATCAGTCTTTCAGGATACACCCGATGAGGCTTTAAGACAGAAATGCAAACAGATAGGCCAGGAGCAAGCAGGTACGCAGGGTTGCTACGGCGTCAGGATGTCGTATCGTTCCCAGCAATTCCACTACGGTCGCTCTCGCTGGTAGATAGCCTCCATTCAGGCTAAACTCAAACTGTGTCTAGTGTGACCGAACAATGTAAACGGTAAAAGTAGTGGTGTTAAAACGGCGCCGTGATCTTTCATTGCACGAACGAAGATCTGTTGTTAGCGTTCCGGTAATTATCGGCAAGGAACGTCGGGGTTCGGCAACCTGTAAAACATGTCTCATAGTCAACTAATCGGTATGCTACAATGTTTCGAGGACACGAAATTCCCATCTAAGGCATAGTGTGTGCACGCAGAATTTGCTCGCGTTCGTTCGGTCGGTTGCCCCTAGTTTACACTGGACTGGATCGAGTTACGTCGCCCACAGCGGAAAATAGCTAGGTTCTATATCGTTAAATCAGGGAAAAAAGGATCTGCTTCTAG